AAAAAAAAGAAGAAGATAAAGTGTGGACTGTCATATCAGACTAATGAAGATGGAATTTGGATTCTACCAATCTTTGGCTTGTGAGCTACGGCAAAAGACATGATCTCTGTACTTCATTGTCTGTATCTCTCAAATGGGGGTCATAATAGTATCTACCTGAAAGTGTTGCTATGAGAGTTAAATTTGAAGATATATGTGCCAAAACTTTAACATATTACATATTAACATATAAATATTAAAATAAAATAGACATAATTTTATAATATGAAAATGAAAATATATTTCAAAATAAGTTAATTTTGAAAATACATGGAATATAGCAAGCTCACAATAAATGCCAGCTTTTATAATTATTAACTAGTTGCCTTCAAAGATTAACATTCAGAGAGTCCTAGACCCAAGAAAGGAAAGGTGGTACTCAAACATGTAGTAGTATATCTAATAAGGAAAAACCACGTCTTGACTAAAAGATTATTTAGGCTATACCAAAACAACTTCTGTCACTCATCTTGTTTAACTAACTGGAAGATCCTTGATGGAAAGTCACAGTCATCTATCCAGGTGGTCAAGTAGCACCATTTTGTCTCTGTCCCTTTCCAGGTTTATCCTACCTTACAATGAACAAACATAATGCTGCCCCATGTCACCGCCCTGGTGCTTGAGGAAAAGCTTCAGTCTTCTGTAGCCATGGTTGCCTATCCTTGTGAAGGTTAAAGATGGTTTAACTCTGGTGGAAAGGGGCCTAGGGCCAGAATCCCTAGAAGCCCACTTAGGGCAGCTTTTGAAAGCATGGGTTTGATGGCTTTTCTGTTGAAAGGCTTGTAGCTATCATAGTCAGGCTCATTGTTAAGTCACCACTTAGGTGTCCCCATTATGGCCTACCACTGTCCCCCCCAATGCCTAGTCCAGGGTGCAGCATAGGCAAGGTAAAGGTAGAAGCAAACTACAATGAATCGAAAGCTGTCCTTCTCATGATTTACTTCAATCACCAGAAGCTTTATATACCAACCCCTGGCTTGTGAGGGAGAGAAAGAGACACAGGGGATTTTATATCCAGAAAATGAATACCACACAGTTGTAAAAGTAGGCAAATTCAAGTCTTGGCAGGTTCTGAGTCTGTGGGTCAGACAGTGAGCTGGAGGCTTCTCTTGACCTGTGTAGCTCCAGGGCCAGATGGGCCCAAGATCAGCAGGAAACCCACAAACTGTTGGCTCTGAGGCAAATGAATCCAAGGTAAGTAGGTGAAGTGGCAGGCTGTTGACAGCTCCCAGGATCACCAGGCAATAGGGTAGTCTGTAGGTTAAGGTCCAAAGAATCAGAGATTGATAAACCGGATTCAGGATCCAGACCCAGAAAAAAAAGCAAACAAATCTTGCCACAGCTTCCATTTATATTGGAAGTGGACACACTACTGAGGAAACTTTTCATTGTACCAGGACCGTGAGTGTGAGTAATGGTGTTACATCCTATCCCAATTGCCTTACAGCTGATTGGCTGTTCACAGCAGATCCCACCCACTGTGGAATGGATTACATTGTGTGAAGTCAGGCTATGGGGGATTACTCGGGTTTAACTGCCAATCCACTTAGAGTTCTGGCCTACCCAAGCCGACACAAGACATAGCTCATTCATTTTCATCCTGATTGTCATATCCACATGGCTGTCATAGTTAATTGCTCTTAAATTGATTCTGACTCATGGCAATCCCATAGAGTAGAACTTGGCTTTCTTGAATGGAATCTTTGGAGGAACCAGAACTTGGAGATGAAAAAGAGGAAGACCCTCCATGGGTTGGATTGACACCGTGGCTGCACCAATGGGCTAAAACATAAAAATTGTGTGCAGGACCCGCCAGCATGTCATTATGTTGGCTTGACTCAGAATTGACTGGACAGCGCCTAACTACTATAGCAACAATAATGATAGTAAATCTTTATGGAGGCAGATTGGCAGCCCTTTTCTTCCCTGGTTATTGTTCAGTGCTCATAGCTGTCCTGTGTATAACAGAATGAAAACCACCCAGCCCTACGCCATGCTCAACAATTGTTCTTATGTTTCAGCCCACTGTGTCAATCCATCTTGTCGGGGGTCTTCCTCTAAGAGGATCTCTTCTTCCCTGGTCGTTCTTCGTCACAATTCCTATTCCCGAAGACCCTTGGGTTCCTTTCGCTAGGCTTCCTGGAAGTCCTGATCTGTAACCTGAAGATTCCCCTATAACTTCAACATTTTATTGACTGCGTTCTCCACTTCCTGCATAAGCTACAGGCTTTCTCTGTCCTGAAAACAACACTTTCCTGCTAACTTTCTCAGATGGAGAGGCCTTTTGTGTCTCACTCCCTCACAGAAGGTAAAAGAAACAACACTCATGGTCCTTTGCTGCCGCTTCCACACCATTCACCCTCCTTTCAAAACCCCAGCTCTTTTGATGTTCAGGCCACACAGCTCTCCCATCTTGTATCTGTCATTCTCCCCAACAGGAAATGCCTAGTACACGCAGAGTATTTTAAACTCGGTTTGTTTGAGGATAATTTAGTGAAGGGATTATTTCCAAAGATGTGCATGTGGTGTAGAAGAGGCCCATGGGATTTGTTACCTGTGGAGCTGACATGACCCCTAAGAGACAAAGGACAAAGGAACAGAGTGCTGGGACCCAGGAAAGAGAAGTGTAGAAAAAAGTCATGTTAAAGGGGCAGATACAGCCCATCCGCCAGCTGCTGGCCTGCCGAGGATCCCATTGACCAAACCCGATCAGAACCAGAGAGCAAGGAAACCTATTGATGCCACCCCTGGGTTCCTGCTCCCACAGCAGAACACAACAACAGAGGAACCAGTGGGAGAGAGGCAGAGGACACCCAGTGTTTGTGGCTGCTGTCCTTCCCAATCACCTAGTCCTTGAAGAGATTCTTACTCGTTATCTTTCTCTTGACGCTTCTGCAATATGGGTAGCTCCCCATGATCTTTGTTGTCTATTCCCATAGCCACACCCTACATGGTATCAGCACTAGAAATATGATACTAACTTTGAGCATCTCGCTCTCCGTCAACCACCCCTTATCCATATGGCTCAAGGGCTCTAGTTCTTCCACTGAAAAAGTTCAACCTTATTGAGGCCTCCAATCTACTGACCTTACCCTTTCTCATCATTTTATTTATTCACTCTCTCATCTACAGTTTGCACAAGTCCAGAGGAGAGGCCATGGACCTTCATCCCTTAAAAAGAACATCTTCTCTCCCTTGTATTCGCCTCAGAAAACTTGAACGCTGGTTAAATGATCTGCCTTTCCAAGGAAGGAGATGACAAGAAAGACAGACACATTGTGCCGTTTTCTCTGTTTGTTCTCACCGACTTCAAAGAAGCATTCCAATCTGCCCACGAATCCTGCAGTGGTCCTGGTGAGAGAGCCAGTTCTTCAAAGACGGCTTCATCCTTCCTTCTCTCCCATCCAGCCTCCCACATTCCACGCTCCTAGTGTCCACACCCTCATTTACTCACCGCCAGTGCCACAAGCCTCTGCTGCTGTGTCCCTTGCCCGTCGTTCTATTCCCATGGAATAAAGGGGCCTTCTCCTATCAAAGTGTAGGCCCCCACACTTGTACTCTATACCCCTGCCCCTTTCCTTTTCTCAAGAAATTTGCTCCTGCTCCCATTCCCGTTCCTGTCTATACCAATTTCCTCCCACTGATGAGCCATTCTTAAGTTCCTGGTGGCACAGTGGGTAAGCACAAGGTCAAGGTGTCAAATCCATCAGTTGTTCTGGAGGAGAAAGATGAGGCTGTCTGTTCCTGTAAATATTTATAGTCTCAAACACCTGAGGGAGCTTTTCTATGAAGGGGCTACACCCCCCCGCCACACACACACACACCAAAAAAACCAAACAACTGAAACAGAAAAGGCCCTATTGGGCAAAGCTTTCATAGCACACATTATTTCCCACTAGGTGAGCATCCAGCAACTCACTCCGAGTTAGTGCACACAGTGGCGTCACCTGGGAAGGTTCTCTCTAGTCACAGTGAATTTTTTCATAAAAGCAGTTTTATGAAACTGCTTTTGAACCACGTTTTATGTGATGGCTGATTTAAGAGAACAACATGCAGCTGTGAAATTGTTTCCTTCTTGGGAAAAGTGACACAGAAACTGTTGGGATGTGGAGCACAAATTACAAGGACAGTGTCATGTGAAAAACTCAAGTGTACGAGTGATTTTCTCGTTTCAAAAAAGGTGAAATGTTGATTGATGACAAACCTCATTTTGGACATCTGTCAACTTCCTGAACAGACAAAAATATTGACTCATGGTGTATGTACATTTGGAGTTCTTTCCAACCAGGTCAGGCTGCCAATCAACCTTTCTATTTAGAAGTTCTGAAAAAATTGCTTAACAGTGTGCTAAAGGCCTGAAGGCAGGACAAACAATCCCAAGGAAAAAACAATGGGACGAGTGGGGGTCATGGGAAAGGACGGGGGGGTGGGTGGGGGGGGCGGGGGCAAGGAGCCAACAAACTCTGGTATGAGGGTACAACACGAAATCTAAAAATGCTGGTGACGAAGCCTGGTGGGGTTTGTTCAAGGGCAATGTATCCAAGAGGAATTCCTGAGAGCTGAGTGGAGGGTGATCATGATAGTGGAATTGGAGGAAGGTGAACAGGAGGAGAGAAGTAGGAAGCCAAAACTATATAGAAGTCATGTATATATGTAAATGTATTAATTTATAATGAAAGGGATAGAGGCCAATGTACATATAATTATATGTTAAGTATTAAGATCACAGAAAGACTTTGAGCCTCAACTCAAGTCCTCCCTCAATGCAAGAACTCTTTGTTCTAATAACTGGGCATTCTATGATGTTCACCTTCCTGACAAGATCACTGAAGACAAAATGGGTACATAAGCAAATGTGGTGAAGAAAGTAGATGATGTCCCAAACAAAAAAAATTAAAAAAAAAAAAAGTAGATGATGTCCAGCCATCAAAATATATAGTGTCTGGGGTCCCAAAGGCTTGAAGTTAAACAAGCAGCCATCTTGCAGGGAAGCAAATAAGTCCACAGGGAAGAAGCACACCAGCCTGTGTGATCATGAGGTGTCAGGCATCAGGTACCAAAAGATCCCAAACAAACAATTATATCGATGTGAATGAGGGGATTGTAGTAGAGACCCAAAGTCTATAGACAATTGGACATTTCCCAACAGAAAGGGTACAAGGAAGGGACAATTCAACCAGGGTGCAGTTTAGCACCGACGAAACACACATCATCCTGTAATTCCTGAATGCTTCCTCCCCGCCACTACCATGACCCAGTTCTACCTTACAAATCCAGCTAGATTGGAGTACACACATTGGTACAAATAATCACTTTCAACACATGGAATTCAGGACAGATAAAATCCTCAGGAACAGTAGTGGGAGTAGTGATATCACAAGGGTAGGGGGATGGTGGAGGTAGGCAGGGGAGGAGGAGGAGAAAGGGGAACCCATCACAAGGTTGGATATATAGCTCACGCTCAGGGGGACGAATAATGAATAACAGTAATGTGGGTGAAGAGAGACAATAGACAGTGTAAGACACGAAATAACAATAATAATATATTAATTGATCAAGGATTCACAAGAGTGGAAGGGTGGAGGAGAAAGGAGGGAAAACGAGGAGCTGATCCCAAGGGCTCAAGTAGAAAGAAAATGCTTTGAAAATG